ATACAATGCAATTCACATTTTATACAATATACAGAAATACTAGAAATTTAGTGAAATTATGTAGGCATTTTGTTGTGAAAATTAAATAATAATTACTTTATTTGAAATTTTTGAAGTTGGAGTTGTATTTGGCCATATTTTTTACAAAGAATATTTAGAATTTGAATATATTTTGTCTGAATATGATTTAAACCCTCAATTTCTAAAAATTAAAAAAATCATCCAACTTGACTAACTTAACCATGTGTACATATATTCATTCAACTTGACATATTTTTCGTTGGTGGCGTGAGTTTCTTAAAAAAATAGACAAAATGATGAATCTTGCAACTTTTTGGATAGTGCAAGGATATTTTTTGTTCACTTATATAACACAAGGATGTACTTTAGGTTTATGTCATACTTCAGAGATGATTTTAGCCAAAAAATCTATTTATTTTGTATCAATTGTATTTGAAATACAACGAATACAACTGTATTTATCCTTTATTTGACTGGATACAAATACATTTGACAGAGAGGATGAATGCATACTGTATTCGTATGAATACAAACACAATTGATACAAAAATATAAAATACAGTTTCTCGAATACAATTGAAATAAAATACAAAACTCTCATTTATATTTGATCGAATACAATTGATACATAATACATTTGAATGAATTTCTTCTTATTGATAGAAGATAGAGAGAGACGAGAGTAGCTGTTTTCTATAAATCAGCTGTAATTTTTGTCGTTTTTCATAATTTTCCCGAAAAGGATAATATATAAAACAGTAACATTATGACATAGTCATCTCAGATCAACTCATTTCAATCCAAGTAACTTTTAGGTAAGTCAATAACTCATTAATTTATTAAGATTTCAATTTATTTTGACCTGTTCAAATTCAACAAACCCGACCATTTGACACTTCTAACCATATTTAATCCGTTCAAATTTAACTCAACCGTCCACTTCACACCTCTAAACTATTGTGACATCTTACTATGTTACATAAATATCCTTTTTTTAAAAAGGTCCCCGTTGACTGTGTCATTGTTAATGACTTGAGGGGAGGCAATTGATTTGTCAATTTTAAATTAGCTAAGGGCCCTACGAATCATCATATGCAATGGCGGAGTCGGAACTTCGATTAAGGGGTGTCAAATTATAAAGAAATAAAATCGCGTAGAAGTCAAGAAATATCAATATGTAATATATATATAAAAAAAATATTTTTACTCTAACTACACAATGTAATTTTCAAATGAAGGAGTGTCGATCGACAACTCTCAACTACATGTGGCTCCTCTACTGGTCATGTGATTAAACTATTTGTATATAATCCCAAAAGACGTAACAAAAATGATTAAACACATTTTTTTTTTGTGCATAAGAATAATCAAAGACAAGAAATTGTATACAAATAAAATAGGAGTATTTGATTACAATTTCTATAACATTTCACATTTAAAGAGAATAGTTTTTGTTTTTTATTTTTCGTCTCGCGAATGAAACATCAATATCACAACAAATCAATTACTCTTTTTATTTTAGTCGTTCAAGTTTGATTTGGTATACTTCTTAATCTTATATATATAATAACGTACATAACTATGTATCAGAGATATATAATCATGTATAAATAATAATATATAATTATATATTAATAGTGTATAACCATACATATTTTATCAGCCATTGGTGATTTATAAAAATAATAAATGGGAAATTGTATGAAATAACAAACTATTAATTCAAATTAAATGTTATTGCCATAGTTTATTTTATTCGTAATTCACAGCAAACATCCTTTTTTTTTGCCATCTGATTCGGTATTCAATTAACCATTTTCAGTATACAATTACCCATTCGGTATACAGATGTATAAAATGTACAAAATGCGTTTGTGTTTGTATAAAGTGAGAGAAAAGTGTATATACAAATACAAATACATATATTTTCGTCCTATACACTTATAACTATACAAATACAGATCTTATTTTACAAATTACAATGTATAAATGAATTTATACAAAACTGTACAATTTGTATAAAATTGGATGCAAATATAAAATTTGTCATGGAGCGCAATTATGCAAACTATAGCTATAACATACAAATATGATTTTTATGTTTGCTATATGTGAAAATTGCTCTAATAAATTGAATACTGTTATTTATTTATTTAAATTTCTTGTTGTGGGGTATTTGAAACTCAAGGGAATATATAATTAAGTGGGTTAATTTGTTCGTGTTAGGAATAAGATCGTATTATTATACAATAAAGTCTAGAACATGCATGTAATTAATAAAATCTACAGTCAATTTGTAATAAATTGTAATCGAGTCATTTTACTTGAAGGAATTTTGATTCAGTGAATATTTTATTTAATTTTTCATTAATAAAATGCTAATTTATTATATTATCTCTAATTATTACTCTATATGTTGAGGAATGAATAAAAAGTAATTATAGCACTCTTTCTGTCTTAATTTAAATGTCTTACTTTCAATTTTGATATATCTAAAAATATGTCTCTTTCAATATTTAATAAGTTTTTTAATTTCAGTATTTTATATGATACTCCCCCGGTCCATCTTTACTTCTATACTATACTAAAAATAGTTGTCCAATAACATTTGTCCAATTTGAAAAATCAAGAGATATTTTACCTTTTTGTGTCTATTTCACCCTTACTATTCAATATCTAATACATTTTCTAAAGCATTAAATTTAATATATTCAAAGGGTAATATAGTAATATTACTTGTTTCTTAAGGTGTGTATCAAATCAATAGTAGACAACTATTATTGGACATGGGAAATAAGTTTAAGACCCCAAAATTTAAAAGGAAAAATTGTATGAAATAACAAACTATTAATTCAAATTAAATGTTATAACCATAGTTTATTTTAATTGTAATTCGCAGCAAACATCCCTTTTTTTTTTGTCATCTGATTCGGTTATACAATTAGTCATTTTCGGTATACAATTAGTCATTTTATACATTTCGGTATAAAATGTGTTTTGTGTTTGTATAAAGCGCGAGAAAAAGTGTATATACAAATATATATATTTTCGTCCTATACACTTATAATTATACAAATACAGATCTTATTATACAAATTACAATGTATAAATGAATTTATACAAAACTGAACAATTTGTATAAAATTAGATGTTTGTAGCGAATTATACAAATCAAAAGCTCCATAGCAAATATAAAATTTGCTATGGAGCGCAATTATGCAAACTATAGCTATAACATACAAATATGATTTTTATGTTTGTTATATGTGAAAGTTGTTCAATTTAAAATACTACACGTATCTTTAATTTAATACTATATTTATCAAAAGTCAAAATAAGACATTTAAATTAAAATAAATAAAATCTATAATAAGAAAAAACAAAATAAATGTTTTAAAAAGTAAGTTATTTATTTTTCAAATTGGATAATTAAAAATGGTCGGAGGAATAATTATTTGTGTCTAAAGTTTTACTTATATGTGTAATAAACCTTGTTTTCCTCGAATGAGAAACAAGACTCATTCTTTTACTACCAATGTCCAAAAAGCTTTTACACGTGCTAAAACCCAAAAACGTTTTTTTCTTTATTAAATTTGACATAATTTATTTTTATTTTAAATTGCCCAAAAAGATGTCTCTTTCTATATTGAATAAGTTTTTTTACTTTCGTATTTTATAGGATAAATTTAAATGCTACACACAATCACACATCATAAATTTATGACTACACAACTCAAAAATCGGACTAATATATTTAAACTGAAATAAATAAAGTACTTAATCTAATAAAGATAAAATAATAGATGGAGGGGTAATTTTTAGCGCATGAAGGTAGTAATAAATACATGTATATCATCAATAAAGACTGTGGTAAATACTTCTTTCTTTTTAATTAGAGGTCTCGGGGGTATGCGGTTGTCTTTGTTGAGAAGCACTTTACTCCTTAATGTGAGACTTTTTTGAACGAATCTAAATTTAGTCAGACTCCAATACAAATATCAAATACGAGATAGATAATAAATAAAAAATAAAAAATACCCAGGCACTAAACCTTGCTTTCCTCAAATTTGAAAGAGTTTTCTGTCTCATCCAACAAGACTCATTCTTTTACTACTACTAAAAGAATGTCCAAAAATCTTTCTTTACACGTGCTAAAACCCAATAACGTTTTCGTTATTCATTCACTCTCTCTCTTTCATTTTATATGAATATTTTTAAAATATATATATATTATTAGAAGTATAAATAATTTAATTTAATTTTTAATTCTGAAATAATTTATAATTACATAAATATTCAAGCATTGTTTTATATCATAAATTTTAAAAATCTATATTCTTTTTCTTAAATACGATATTAGATTAATTAAATAGTGTCACATAAAATGATACACCTAGATGCATGTATTTTTGCTATCAGATACATCAAAATAAGGAGAGGGGCGAGTGAGTGAGATGAAGGGGGAGATAGTCATGCATCCTAATCATACTAGAATCTACATACATGTATTTGCATATATTTGCTGGTATGATTCACATGTATCTAGGAAACAAAATACATAGAAAAGTGGCGAGCGAGATGAGAAGAAGGCGAGCAATGCTTGTCTATGTATTCCAAATAACGGGTTTATGTCTCATCCAACAAGACTCCCTTTGTCCCTAATTACTTGTCCACTTTTGAAATGACACACCTATTAAGAAAACAATTAATGATACCGTGAATTTACCATTTTACCCCTATTAATTATGAAGTAGATGAATTAAAAACTTAATATTTTCAAGAAGTTCAACATTTTTCAAAGTAATTAATTGAGGGTATAGTAGGTAAAAAAAAATGTTCTTTCTTGACTTGTCAAAATAGACAAGTAATTAGAGACAACTAAAAAAACAAAAATGACCAAATAATTAGGGACAGAGCTAGGGAGTATATTCAAATGATGATATAGTAAAATTATCCTTCCATTTATAGTTTTTTAAAGAATGTGCAGTTTGGTAAATTAATTTAAATAGTAATAACTTATTTTGTTTCAAAAAATATTTGACAGAGTCAAGCAGCCCCACATTTTCTCTCCCGTTCCTTTCACTGCATTTTCTATGAATACGTGTTCCTTAATTTCCTCTCTCTTCATAATCCAAAATCTATATATATAAGAAAAACACTCAACGAGTACATTCTACAATTACAAAATATATACAACGTACGAACAAATAATATTTCGAATTCAATTAATCGAAATTCAGAAGCTGAAACTTCAACAACGATGAATGATTCGAGTAACTCATGTTCTTCGAATAGAACGGAACGTTCGGATGAAGAAAATATTTTATTAGTATCATCTAACAAGCCGAAGAAGCGAGCGGCCGGGAGGAAGAAGTTCAAGGAAACACGTCACCCGGTGTTTCGAGGAGTGAGAAAGAGGAACAACGACAAGTGGGTTTGCGAAATTCGCGAACCCACTAAACAAAAGCAAATATGGCTAGGTACGTACCCAACCGCGGAAATGGCTGCACGTGCTCATGATGTGGCTGCATTAGCGCTTAAAGGAGAGTTAGCCACACTGAATTTCGCGGACTCCGCTTGGCGTTTACCGGTTCCGGTATCTAAGGACCCGAAAGAGCTCCGCCAAGCGGCTGCTAGAGCAGCTGAGGCGTTCGAACCGGTGAGGGATGTAGCACCACAAGAGAATAATAATGTTGTAGTAGATTGTAATATGGTGGTTGATGAAAATGATAATAGTAACTCATGTGGGATAGAGGAATGGGTTGCAAATATGGAAGAAGAAAGTTTGTTTTCACCAAATCCATGTTTATTTGGGAGTCATTTCAATTGGGATGATCATGTGGAAAGTGATGTTGAGGTGTCCTTGTGGAATTATACTATTTGATCTCACATGCAATCTGGGGCGGAGCTACAATGTAATACGAGGTTAAAGTGGACCTATGGTAAATGGTTTAGTGGTTTGTTTGCGGCTTACAAAGTCGTTATCTAACTTAAAATTCAAAACTTGTAAAATTCAGAACTCACATCGTTAACGAGTTATTTCAAGTATGATATTATAAAATGGCATAATACATGAATGACTTTCTAATATATAATTTCGATATTTCACCTAGCCACGCACCTTTAATAATGAGACTATATTAGGAGATCATTTATGTATTACATCTAATAAAAATTTATTAGAAAGACGTGAGGAATATATTCTAGTAGTTAGGTTGTTAGATGCCATCAGAATATGACATCAAATCTCTATATTATATATAATGAATCTCTTAATAAAAATATAGTGTCTATGTAAAATTATTAAGTTCTCGTGAATCAATATATGTAGTGCTCTACGTACATTTGCTATCAGAATCCAACTTTCTCTGGTACACTTACTTTTTCCAGTTGTTATGATCATAGACAGATCCATGGTTCAAACTTTCTATATTCGAGTAATTTAAAATTTCTACAACTCTTTGATTTGTCAAATTTAAATATTATATTTATATACTCCATCTATCAATCTCTATTAATTATATAACACACTTTTCTCTCTAGTTAGTCTAAAATATTTGTGAAAAATGTCGACTAATCCGTAGGAGGGGTGCATTATAGTAATTTGTTTCAACCCGAGACATGGCTAATCAAACTTGCCAGAAGAGCCGATGTACAAATAAAGAATTTGTTTTGACATGAAATGGATATATCAATATATCTCTTACTCATATTTGCGAGATGATAAAATATGGCAAAAGCTATACCAAAAATTAGTTCGCATCCGAATGAACTTATTAGTTCACGTAAGGGTACACGTAGAATACCAAAGGGGGTTATTTATGGTCAAGCAAGTTTTAATAATACCATTGTCACTATTATAAATATACGGAATCGAATAGTTTCTTGATATTCAGCTGATACTTCTGAATTCAAAAATACGGGAAGAGAAAATTCAAGCAACTCAGAAAATTCGAACAACTCACTCTTATCAGACTATATCAGTTACATAAATTATTTATTGACTTGTTCGTTGGTAAGGTGATAGGTGTGCTAAAGGTGCCAAATAAGCTTAATTGACTGTGTCTAAGTACTATATATACAGTGATTTAAGACAGTTTATTCACGTGGTACATAATATAATGACAAAAAAAATGATTCTTATTCTGTCTGGTTTCTAATTTTGAACAAAACATTTTTTAAGGTTAGACTAAATCAAGGTAGATTAGTTTGGTAAGCTTGTAGTACCAACATACCGACCAATGTCAACTTTCCTTTTTTGCAATCAATTTTATATTTCATATGTTGTAATTTATTTATCTTGTTTTTTTTTTTTTTTGGTTTGTTTAGAAAATTAACATCTTATTTATAATATGGAGAAGGGCTTAAAATGTCCCTCAACTGTTTGAATTGGTACAAAACTATCCTTCATCCACTTTTGGGTCCCCCAAATATCCTCAACGTCAACCTTTTGGCTCAAAAAATACTCTTATGTCTAACAGATCATACTAATAAGGTGGATGTAGGACAATATTGTACCAAATCTCATAGTTTAAGGGCATTTAGGCCATTTTCCGTTAAATTTGAAATTACTTAATATATGAACTCACATGATTGACTTGATTTTGAATTTCATAGTAAATTAAAAATTAAAAATAAGTTAGACATCTACTCTCTACACTGACCCCCCACCCCCCACTTCCTATCTCTTCCATTTTTTTATATTTGGATCTTGTCCACCATTTTATTTTATTTTTCAATTTATGACAAACGAGAGAGAAAAAAGGAGGAAATAACAATGACGTTCATATAGAAAAGGAGGAAATAACGATGACGTTCATATAGAAAAGGAGGAAATAACGATGCCGTTCATATAGAAATAATTAGTTCTTTTGTGTGTACCCAAAATACAAAATAAAAGAATAAAAATAATCATTTCTCCTATCTCCACCCCAACTCCACCATGACAACAATACAAATTAAAAGAATATAAACATGTGAGTTCATTTCAAGTTTGAGTTCCGGATATCCTAATTAAGAATAAGAGATTAAAAAAATGAATAAAAAGAGAAAATGAACAAGACATTTGGATAATTGATAGAAAAATTTATATTAATAAACATAATAAATTTTTTTAGATGGACAATCAGTCGGGGTAAGTATGAATTTTAGTTGAATCCCCATTTATGAGTTGCGTTATAATAAATTGGGGGTTGATTTAAAATAGGCCAACGGGAAGATATCATGAAATTAATTGTTTTTTCAATATTAATTTCAAGTGTATCAGGTCAAAATATGAATCATATGTGGTTTTATAAAAAAATAATTTAAAAATATGATTTTTGTTATTTATTTGGGAAGGGTTTTAATTTGGACTAATCACATTAGGCAACACAATAAATAAATATTTAATAATTTTACTTTAAGGGACTATTGAAAATAAGGGCAGATATTAGTCAAAAGATTAACATCGAGGGTATTTTTGAGCCAAAAAGTGGACGCCTTGGGTATTTTAGAACCGAAAGGTGCATGAAGGGTAGTTTTGTACCAATTCAAATACTTGAGGAACATTCAAATTCTAGTATTTTATTGGCATATGTTTAAGATGATAACACTAAAGAATATTTTAGTACATCAATTACACATATTTTTAATTTAAGATCGTTAAAAATTGTGTTTACTTTCTTAAATTTCGTGTTCAATCAAATTAATATAAATAGGGTAATTTGTTTGGCCCAATCCATGTATTTTTTTTAGGGAAACTTACCAAATCTCATGCATTTGAGACAAATTACATCCTATTTCGAAAGTTTTTCTAATTACAAAAATTTTGAATTTTTCATTGCTTTCGGATACATTCCTTGATTGTTTGATATACATTGCAAATGATACACTAATTACTAATTACATCCTATTTCGAAAGTTTTTCTAATTACAAAAATTTTGAATTTTTCATTGCTTTCGGATACATTCCTTGATTGTCTGATATACATTGCAAATGATACACTAATTAATTAATGGAGATGATGTATCCGAAAAAAGGAATTAGAGATGTCTCCTAGAGATTATGATATCGAAAATTATATAATACATTAAACCTAAAAATATATACATTAAATACGTAAAGACACATACACAGAAGCTAAAACATAGATATTTGTATTTTTATATACATTAAACATATTAAAAATGATATGTTAACATGACCTATATACATTAAATGTGTAAAGGCTCATACATAAAAGCTAATACATAGATATTATTGTAATTTCCATACATTAAACAAACAATAAATGATACGGTTTTGCTATTAAGTCATGATCAACTCATCGTATATGACTTGTCTAGTGCGATTTATATTTTCTGTGTGGTCTGTAAGTTATAACAGGGATTCTACCTGTAATCTGCCTCAAGTGTTGCAGCCATAGCAACAAGTACTTATCTTTCAATACCATCTAGAAAATGTCATATTTTTCAGCCTAAAAATCAAAATGCAGCAACATTTTGGTCGAACCTCACCTTTTTTGATAAATAAAATGAAATGAAGTTATTTTCCAAAAATAATACTCCCTCCATCCCATTTAATATGAGGTACTTTGACTCGGCACGAAGTTTAAAAAAGAAAGGAAGACTTTTAAAATTTGTGGTCTAAAATGAATGATAGAAATTTGTGTGGCTGTAAATCATTTTATTAAGGATAAAATGGACATTTTATAGTTAAATTGTTACTTAATATAGAAATGTGTCATTCTTTTTGGGACTGACTAAAAAGAAAAGTAAGTTATATAAATTGGGACAGAGGGAGTAATAATTTAAATAATAAAATATACTTAAAATTAATGTTGTGGGGGTTATAAGTTATGACATGTCTTTTTAATTAAAGTCTACTAGAAAGATAAAAACAAAAACTAAATAGTATTTAAAAAGGGAAAATTACGCGGTTAAGCAAATTTGTACTACTTAATTACTCATCATAGCTATAGTTTGCTATAATTATCACTCGCGACTAACATTATACATTAATTATGTGGGCTGACTTCGAGTTTGTATAATTAGTCACGTTTGTATATGTATAATTCGTCAGAATATACAAATACATATGTATAATATACAATTATCTAACCGATATACATATACAATTCACCTCTCTCCCACTCTCTGCCCTCTCTCGCTCGCTTTTCTCCTTCATCTCCCAATCTCCCAATCCGAGCTGACTTCGAATTTGTATAATTACTCCGTATAAGAGCGTTTGTACTGCCAACGTTGTTTCAATTCATATAAACAAGATGAATAGGCAGAGAAAGTTCACTCAAAAGTAGCGAGAACAAAAAATTATCTAACCGATATACATATACAATTCACCTCTCTCCTCTCTCTCCCAGTCTCGCTCGCCTCTCTCCTCCCTATGACATGTAGCTACGAATTGTATTTATCAAACTATAGTTATGAAGAGTAATTAAGCTATTTTTGAATGGTAATATGTGAAAGTTCTTCTTTTAAAAATAAATATAAAACGTCGTCACATAAATACTTTTTTTTTACCTATATCACAAGTGGGATTACTTAATTTAAACATTAAATAAATCAATAAAACCTTAATAGTTAGAGATTTTGAGTCACTCCTTGTTTCCATTTTTAATTGTCATGTTGCATTTTTCGAAAGTCAATTTGACTAATTTTCAAAGTTAAATTAGATTACATTAATTCGATATTATTTTGAAACAACAAATTTAGATATTCAAAAACTATACAAAAAGTACTACAAATTTCAATTTTTTGCATATCAATAATACATCATAAAATGTTAGTCAAAGTTATTATCGTTTGACTCTAAACAAAAAAATTATAACAATTAAAAATAGACGGAGATAGTATTATTAACTACTGATTTTTAATGAGTCTCAAAAATTTGAAGATGTATAAGACTCATCTTCTTCTACTCCATAGTTAAAAAAAAAGGGGAAAAATCATCAAACAAACATGTTGCAACGAATGGGGCTGCTCCTTT